ATGACCATCTTTTCATTGCTTGCCAAGAATCTAACTGTGGCTTTTAAAAATTACAATGGAAATAGAAGCAAATGTTAAGGAACAAGAACCACTATGTTTTGAAAAGATAGGTAAGAAGTGATGACTAATCAGGCAAAAACTATCTGAATCCCTACTATGTGCCCATTAATTCATTCAATACATATCTGCTTAATATCACTAACTGCTAACAGACAAAATAAGAGCAACAAATCTGTGCTTTCTAGAGTTTACAGGTCTGCCTGCCTTGGCCTCCCAAAGTGCTGGGATTATAGGTGTGAGCCACCACACCCAGCCAAATAGAATAGTTTTAAAACACATTATTTCTCTGGATTTTATCTTTATCTATAAAATGGAGTTTTGGCCAAGCGGCGGTGGCTCACGCCTGTAATCCCAGCACTCAGGAGGCCAAGAAGGATCACGAGGTCAAGAGATTGAGATCATCCCGGCCAACATGGTGAAACCCCGTCTCTACTAAAAAATACAAAAATTAGCTGGGTGTGGTGGCATGTGTCTGTAGTCCCATCTACTCGGGAGGCTGAGGCATGAGAATTACTTGAACCCAGTAGGTGGAGGATGCATGAACCGAGATTGCACCACTGCACTCCAGCCTGACGCCTGGCAACAGAGTGAGACTCTGTCTCAAAATAAAATAAAATGGGAGTTTTAGACTAATCTCCAAATTCCCTTACTGTTCTAAAATTCCATAATCTGAGGATCTAAGGAAAAAAGAATGAAATGAAGGAGAATTGCTTGAACCCAGGAGGCGGAGGTTGCAGTGAGCCGAGATCGACCCACTGTATTGTAGCCTGGCGCCTGGAGATGACTCTGTATCAAAAAAAAAAAAAGAGTATTTTAAAAATGTTTTAGGCTGGGCATGATGCCTCATGCCTGTAAATCCCAATGCTTTTGGAGGCCGAGGCAGGAAGACCGTTTGAGCCCAGGAATTTGAGACCAGCTTGGGCAACACAGAAAGACACCATCTCTATAAAATTTTAAAAATTAGCCAGGTGTGGTGGTGTGCATCTGTAGTCCCTAGCTACTTGGGTGGCTGAAGCAGAAGGATCACTTGAGCCAGGGAGGCCGAGGCTGCAGTGAGCTGTGATTGTGTCACTGCTCTCCAGCCTCGATGACAGAGTGAGACACTGTCTCAAAAGAAAAAAAAAAAGTTTCAGATAAATGGAAAAGAAAGAAGTGAGCAGACACTGGAGAAGGGGAAAAAAATGTCTAATGGTATGGTGCCAAAACAAAATCACAGCCTACCTCATGCTGTCTTATAATTTGATCCTGCAGAAGAACATCTACCAAAAGTCTACTATAGAGGCAGCAAAATAAACTGCTACAATAGAATACTACAGGACATCATGGAGGCACAATAAGATAATGGTCACTTCCACCACTTGGGAGCAGCAGGGCCTGGGAGGTGTCGAAAATGTTTTCAAGGAGGAAACTGAATACACTGTTCCCCTGGTTGGGCACTGGTAAAGGAAGAAGAGATTGGAAGCTTCAGGAGGAGCTTTCTATTTCTGCTGTATCCCCTGTCCCTCCTCTCACCTACAACACTGTAGATTGTCATGCAGCAGGCACACAGTAAATATCTGAGTAATTAATTAATTTGCTAATTACTTAATGCATGTACCATTATATGAAGCCTTGAACAAAGCAGGCTTCCAATAACAATGCCATGATGATATAGTTTTTTAAAATTTCACTGAAAAGTATTCATTACTCAGCTGGACACAGTGGCTCACATCTGTAATCCCAGCACTTTGGTAGACTAAGACAGGAAGATTGCCTAAGGCCAGAAGTTCAAGACCAGCTTGGCCAATAAGTGAGATCCTGTCTCTAAATAAAAAAAAAATTTTTTTTAATTAGCTGGGGAGGCTGAGGCATGAGGATTGCTTGAGTCTAAGAGTTCAAGGATGCAGTGAGCTATGACTGAGCCACTGCAGTCCAGCCTCAGTGACAGAGTGAGACCCTGTTTCAAAAAAAGCCAACAAAAAAATTACCAATGTTATAACTTTTTCAATTATTTTCTCAACTACATATTGTTAATAGTATAGTTGCAGTCATGTAGGTATGTGAGAAATTTGTATAATTTTTATTAAGAATAAATAAATTCATGAATAAATGACAGTGAAAGATGAAAGAAAGTAAGAGAAGCATTCCAAAAAGCCAGAGACATAATATAGCCTAGAAAACACAATTATCCTAGGGTTAGGGCATAAGCGATAGGAAGAAAAAATAAGGCTATGGAGGTTGGTAGAGGCAGGGTTATAAGTCTTATAAAGAATGTAGTCCTATAGGCCAGAGATTACCAACTTTTTTTTTTTTTTTTTTTAAGGAGATGAATCTCACTATGTTGCCCAGGCTAGAGTGCAGTGACTAATCAGTCACGATCATAGAGCACTGCAGTGTTCAGCTCCTGGCCTCAGGTCATCCTTTTGTCTTGGGCTCCCGAGTAGCTGGGATGACAGGCAGTGACAATGCTCTGAGTTTAATCTTTTGACTCTTCAAACTTCTTTTTTAATGTCAAAAACTGTACATGTGATAGTAATTGTAAGTTTAGCATCTATTGATTTTTATTTTTTCAGACAAAGTTTCACTCTTGTTGCCCAGGCTGGAGCACAATGGTGTGATCTCAGCTCACTGCAACCTCCACCTCCTGGGTTCAAGCAATTCTCCTGCCTCAGCCTCCTTGAGTAGCTGGGATTACAGGCATGTGCCACCATGCCCGCTAATTTTTTTTTTTTTTTTAGTAGATGGGGTTTTACCATGCTGGCCAGGCTGGTCTTGAACTCTTGAACTTGTGAACCACCTGCCTGCCCAGCTAATTTTTGTATTTTTAGTAGAGATGGCGTTTCACCGTGTTGACGAGGCTGGTCTTGAACGTCTCAGGTAATCCACCCGCTTCAGCCTCCCAAAGTGCTGGGATTACAGGTGTGAACCACCACACCCAACAGGTATCTATTGATTTTAAAAATATGTAAAGAAAAACGTTAAAGTGGATTCACTTCTAATTTTACTTATTTAATTTTTTTTTTAGAGACAGGGTCTCACTCTGTCTCTTAAAGTGCAGTGGCATGATCACCGCTCACTCCAGCCTTGAACTCCTGGGCTCAAGGGATCCTCCCAACTCAGCCTCTCAAGTAGCTGGGAGTACAAACATATACCACCAAACTCTGCTAATTTTTTTTTTTTTTTGAGACAGAGGAATGCAGTAGCATGATCTCCTCTCACTGCAACCTCTGCCTCCCAGGTTTACACCACATTGTTACCAATTAATTGCAGTTTGGCCTGTCCCCTTCATTATCCAAAACCTGGTTGGCGTGAGATTATACCCCCCTTCCATCCCAGGACAACTCTGAAGGGTCATCATAGTTCATACTCTACATGGAGTTGGCTGAAGTTTCACTGCAACTTCCCAGCAGCCCAACTTCTCCCTCTGCCCATCCTGTTCACCTCTCTTTTCTTTCCCTTCACTTCTGCAGGTGATGATCCCAAGAACACTCCCTAAAAAATATTTGCTATTACTAATCTCCATCTCACAGTCTGTTTTCTGGGCATGGTTCTCCTGCCACAGCCTCTGGAGTAGCTGGGGACTACAGGCGTGAACCACCGCACCCAGCCTAGAATACTTTTCGATTGCCGGTTGAGTAGAGCAAGGCCAATATGAGTTGAGAAAAACAGAGGTGGGAAAGTTCGTTACAGTTAATCATTTCCCATTTATGCCTTGCTTCCTTTGCCGAAGTCTGTTTGCCATCCGAGAGGGGTGGGGATTTCTTTGATGTGAACCAAGTATTAATAATTGCTTTTCTGTGCTGCATCTATGATAGAGTAATCATTGTTCTTTGAAGGGGCAGTAATACTTCTACGCTACTGCAGGACTTTGGGAAATAATGTTTAAGGAAAGGAAGCACAGAATAATTATTCAAAGATGACTAGTCTTCCTGCCTCAAAATCGTATCACTCGGATTTGAATAAAAATACCAAGGTTTTTCCATTCTTGAGGTTTTACACTCTTTAAGTTCCTGAACCTGAGGTCTGAAAAATAAGGCAACCCCATCCTCTCCTTAAACAGGTTAGAGCCAGCAACTTTTTATTTTTCTATGCAGACAAAAGAATTATGCAGAAAAAACAAAAGAGGCGGGGGCTGTTTCCGCATTACTGAAATTCACATTAAACATATAGTTAGCTTGCTATATGCAGAGAGCAATGGTGTTGAGAGTCCCATGATGTGAATTCAAGCCTATTTTAAACCAGATATGAGAAAGTTTCCAAACATCTTTGTGTCTCGGATTCTTCATCTGTAAAACTGCGTTATTGAGAAGATAATTTGAGACACGGTGCGCAAAACAATTTGTTAGGGTTATTTCTAACCCAGAATGTATTGACTGTCAGTAACAGTACATTAGTTACGATTCATCGAGGGCAGCTTCTGGACTTTCCGTTTGGAAGCCTAGCCGTGGCAAAAGCAGCAGTGCATTTAAAAATTGGAGTGAAATTCTTTCGGTTAGGGAAAGCAGTAACCTTGGAAACGAGATTGGTACCACCCCTTTCAGTCCTAAAGCTTTGTTTCTCCCGCTTTTCTCTATAATGTTTAGGGCATCGCTATTTTACGGTCTTTTTGTTTTGTCTTTTCTTTCCACATTATTAGTACAAAAGAGAAATTCCCCTTGTACAGAAGTAAGTACAAAACTTTTCTAGTCGCCCCTTTCCGACCGCAGCTCACCTACTACTTTTTCTATTCCGCGGTCGGAGCCCCAGACGTCCTCAAAGATAAATATTTTCGCGAGGGCCAGTGTAGGACAGGAACTCCCTAGATCTTGAATCAAGAGAATCTACTAGGTAATAACAGAAAGGATTCGGACCCAGAAACCAGAGACAACAAAGACCGCCAAATTTAACACCACCCTTTGCGACGGAGAAAACTCTCGCGAGAAAGGACTGGGAAACGAGAGGAAGCAACGTTCTCGCGAGAAGAGGGGGTGCCTCGCCGGAAACTTGGAAATGGCCCCCTAAGCGACTTAGTCCCAGCCAGTGGGTGGGGCCTGAGTAAACCCGCCCCCTTCCGGCCTTTTTCCCCACCTCCCAACCGTGAGGTGCTGCTTTGGGGGCGCCGGCAGCTGGGTTCTCCCGGTTCCCGTGGGCAGGTGCAGGGTCGGGTTCAAAGCCTCCGGAACGCGTTTTGGTCTGATTTGAGGAGGGGGGCGGGGAGGGACCTGCGGCTTGCGGCCCCGCCCCCTTCTCCGGCTCGCCGCGGACAGAAAAGCCCGCCTCCACCCTCGGCCGGCCCTGGGGCTGTGTCCCCCGGGCATCTCCAACAGAGGCCTGAGCTTCTGCCTGCAGGTGTCTGCGGCGAGCCCCCTAGGGTACACCCCGATTTGGCCCCATGGTGGGTTTCGGGGCCAACCGGCGGGCTGGCCGCCTCCCCTCTCTCGTGCTGGTGGTGCTGCTGGTGGTAATCGTCGTCCTCGCCTTCAACTACTGGAGCATCTCCTCTCGCCACGTCCTGCTTCAGGAGGAGGTGGCCGAGCTGCAGGGCCAGGTCCAGCGCACCGAAGTGGCCCGCGGGCGGCTGGAGAAGCGCAATTCTGACCTCTTGCTGTTGGTGGACACGCACAAGAAACAGATCGACCAGAAGGAGGCCGACTACGGCCGCCTCAGCAGCCGGCTGCAGGCCAGAGAGGGCCTGGGGAAGAGATGCGAGGATGACAAGGTAAGGACGACCCCCTTCTATTTCAACCCCCATAGTTTCTTTTCTCTACGGGGTCTGGGGCGGGGTAGTAATCCGGTTGCGGTTGCCCTATCCCTTACAGTACTGCAGTCCTGAAGGCTCCTTTCACCCCCAACAACTCTGTTTCTGTCAGACTTTTCCTGGTTTATCAGTGCCACGTTCTCCTGTCTCTGCCAGACAAAACTGACTTTAAATTCTGGTTCTCTAGAGTGGCCTGTGTGCGGATGCCGCCTATTCTCTAAGCTCAGCTGCTGAGCTGGCAGTGGTAACAGTCTGGCCTATGTGGCCGCCTTACCTTCAGAGACACACAAATCTGGAGACTGCCAGGTTTGGTGTGGGTATTGTTGTCTCATTCTTATTCCGTACACATTGATCAATATTAATTTCGTTATTTAAAGAACGAAGCCGCCTCTGACTCCTCTACCTATGGTAGTCACCATATATTTTTTAAGCTGTGTGACTTTTTAAATCTCTATAGGGCGATGTATTGAATAACTGAATAATCAGCTATTACTGCTTTTTTGTGATCAAAATGTTTTGATAGATGGACCCTTTAGCTATGTGTGAGCCGCACTTGTGTCTTGGACATAGTTGATCCATAATTATCTACTCAATTTGAATTGTTAATGAAATTAGCCAAAAGATTAGAATCTAAAAATACGTTTTTCTGTTTGTTTGTTTTTTTGAGACGAAGTCTTTGTCGCCCAGGCTGGAGTGCAGTGGCGCAATCTCAGCTCACCACGACCTCCGCCTCCCGGGTCCAAACGATTCTCCTGCCTCAGCCTCCTGAATAGCTGGGACCACGGGTGCCTGCCACCACGCCCGGCTAATTTTTTGTATTTTTAGTAGAGGCAGGGTTTCACGGTGTTACCAGGATGGTGTCGATCTGCTGACCTCGTGATCCGCCCGCCTCGGCCTCCCAAAGTGCTGGAACTACAGGCGTGAGCCACCGCACCCGGCCAAAAATAAGTTTTAAGCAATAGAATGCCGTCAGTGTCTTCACTGAAAGAAAACAGAATGAAATTTTGTATGGCTAAGTAGCTATTAGGGTTGGTGTTTTATGCAGATGGAAAACTATACAAAGTTTTAAATTGTAAAAAGTTTAAAATTGAATTGTAACCATACTTGCTACTCAATAGTCTTTATTTTCATTATCTCATTGGTAACTATAGTAATAGTTTATCACTTATACAACTTCTGTAGGTGTAATAGAGTTATGAATATTTCAGGGCAGGATAATAGATGCCTTTCTTTCTATACACTTCTTTGGTAATCTTCACATTTTTGTGTGTAAATGCCGGTTATAATTACAAGTTTTATTTTGCGTATGAAAATCACTTAAGGGTGAGTCATTATAAATTTTTTTTTTTTAATGAAAGAAAGAAAAAGGAAGAGAAAAGGGGGAGAGAGAACAGGAGTCTTAACAGGAGTCTTGCTTTATTGCCCAGGCTGGAATTCAATCTAAAAGTAGTTATTACAAACCTCTTTTATGCCGATAATTGTGCTTAACAGCGGAGACAGGAAGGAATAAGGAAAGAAAATAACAAACAGCCAACGAATATTTCATTTAAATCTGTGAAATGCTATGCAAATGCTGAAGAGTGATTTGCTTCCATTTATGTGGTCACTTTCAAAATAGGTGTAATGTGATACTAAAAAAATATATGTTCTGTGACCTGGGGTAAAGAATTCTATAAATATTTACTGAGTTTACTTGTTCCAGGTCTGAGTTAAAATCATAAATGTCCCTGTTAATTTTCTATCTCGTTGATCCGTCGAATCTTAACAATGTGGTGTCAAAGTCTCCTGCTATTATTGTGCAGGAGTCCAAGTCTCTTTATAAGTCATTAAAAACTTGTCTTATGTATTTGGGTACTCCTATATTGGGTGCATATATATTTATGATCATTAACTTACTGTTGCATTGATCCTTTTATCATTATGTAATGTCCTTCTTTCTTTTAGTCTTTGTTACTATTAACATCTATTTTGTCAGAGATGAAAGTTACAACTCCTGTTTTTTTTTTCTCTCCATTTGATTGGTGAGTCTTTCTCCAACCTTTTGTTTTGAGTCTTTGTGTGTCCTTGCTTATGAGATGGATCTGAATACAGAGTGCCGATGTGTTTTGACTTTTTATTCAGTTTGCGTGTCTATGTCTTTGATTGGGACGTTTAATCCATTTAAATTTAGGATTAATATTGATATTTGTGAGTTTAATATTGTCATTTAATGCTAGCTGGCTATTTTACCCATTAGTTGATATAGATTCTTCATTATGAAGATACTCTTTACCTTTTGGTAAGGTTTTTGGATGGCTGATACTGGTTGTTCCTTTCTGTGTGTAGTGCTTCTTTCAGAAGCTCTTGTAAAGCAGGCCTGGTGGTGATGAAATCTCTGAATGCTTGCTTGTTCGTGAAAAATTTTATTTTTCCTTCGTTTATGAAGCTTAATTTGGTTGGATATGAGATTCTGGGTTGAAAATTCTTTTCTTTGAGGATATTGAATATTGACCCCCGACTCTCTTCTAGTTTGTGGGGTTTCTGTTGAGAGATCTGCTGTGAGTCTGATAGGCTTCCCTTTATGGGTAACCTGACCTTTCTCTCTAGCTACCCTTAGAATTTTCTCCTTTATTTCAATCCTGGTGAATCTAACAATTATGTGTCTTGGGGATGCTTTACTTGAGGAATATCTTCGTGGTGTTCTCTGTATTACCTGGAGTTGAGTATTGTCCTGCTTTACTAGGTCAGGAAAGTTTTCCTGAATAGTATCCTGAAGAATATTTTCCAGCTTGGATTCATTCTCTTCATGACATTCGGGTACACCTATCAAACGTAAATTAGGTCTTTTCATGTTTCTTGGAGACTTTGCTCATTCTTTTTTACTTTTTCTTATCTAATCTTGTCTTCTCGTTTCATTTCATTAAGTTGGTCTTTGACCTCTAATATCCTTTCTTCTGCTTGATCAATTGGAGTGTTAAAACCTGTGCATACTTCACTGTGTTCTTGTATTCTTCAGTTCCATTAATTCACTTATATTCTTCTCTAAATTGTCTATTCCTGTTAGGATTTCGTCAAACCTTTTTTCAGTGTTCTTAGTTTCTTTACATTGGGCTAGAACATGTTCTTTTAACTCACAGAAGTTTCTTATTATCCACCTTCTGAAGCCTAATTCTGTTATTGGAACACACTCGTTCTCCGTCGGGCCTTGTTCCTTGATGAGGAATGGTGATCTTCTGTAGAAGGAGAAGCATTCTGATTTTAAGTATTCTCAGCCTTTTTATGCTGGTTTCTTCCCATCATTGTAAATTTATCTACCTGTCATCTTTGTAATTACCGACTTTCAAATTAGGTCTCTGAGTGGACGTCCAACTTGTTAATTCCCAGCGCCGAAATCTGAGCAACCCACTGCATCGGCTAAAATAGCGGCGTCAAGATTCTTGGTGCTTTTCTGCCCGGGAGTCTCCAGTCTGGCTTCCCTCCTGAATCCCTTCTTCAATCAGCTGAGTGAGTGACTCTGCCTTTGTGGAGCTCCAATCGTCGACCAAAAGCAGACCCAGTCCTATTTACTCTGCACCGAGAACCACCGCACTGGCCACAAGAGTCACGCTGGTGACCTGTGGGGCTCCTCCACTGGGAATCTCCTGGTCGGTGAGCAGCAAGAATTCATCTGAAAGTGTGGCGTCCTCTGGTTCTCTGCATTTCACTGGGAGCTACAAGCCTGAGATGCTAGTGATCGGCCATCTTGGATCTCTCCGTCATTATAAATTAAACTCTCCACAAGCTTCTGACTTTCCTGTTGACAGCCTCTACCTTGCTTTCTTATTTCATGAAGATTAAGGCTCTCAGCTAAGTGCTTCCCTATAACCCCCTCCTCTTCACCATAACGTAGACATGCTCTGACAGGGTCAGGGAATCAGTAAATTTATGTATGTGCTACATACCAAGCTCTAAAGACTGAAAAACTTGGGCAGAATAGGTAGAAATCCCTGAAAGTTTGGAGTATTAAAGTAAGGTCTTCCTACTTGGAATGGTTAAGCATTACAATTCACATTCTTCTGTCTGGTCTCAAAGGAAGATGTCTTCTAGTAATTAATAACTGTTGATTACATTCTTTCATCCACTTGACTCTTTTTTTTTTTTTTTGAGACAGGGTCTCACAGTGTTGCCCAGGCTGGAGTGCAGTAGTTATTCACAGGCATGATGCACTACAGCATGAACTTCTGAGCTCAAGTGATCTTCCTGCTTCAGCCTCTGAGTAGCTGAACTGCAGGTCTTTGCCACCTTGCCCAGCTCTACTGAACGGTCAGTGTCTTTGAGTTTGTTTCATTTTTTACCTTCAACAGGATGTGGATGTCCCCTGTTCTAAGTAAAGAACAAAAGACTTTTATATATCACTGTCTCCTAACCAACCCATTTGTTTTTTCACTTTCATTACTAAAGTTGAATTATCAATAGTCTACAAATGTTTCATCTACTTATTTTTTCATACCCATCCTAATCTTAAAATGTCTGCCATCTTTCTTTCCTTCCCTTTTCTGAAACTAGTCTCTGAAAGGTCACTAGCAGTCTTCCTAGTCAAAACCAAAGAACATTTTTATTCTTACTCTATTTGATCTCTCAGTAGTTTGGGCCTGTTGATTGTCTCTAGCTATTTAGAAACTGTTTCCTTTCTTGCTTCTGTAATATTGGACTCTTCAGCCCTATCTTCTTCACTGTATTCACTGCTGTATTTATTTTTTCTTTCCAGCCACCTAATAAGGGACTTTGTTCTTGAGCCTTTGCTCTCACTTGAGAGCAGTATTTTCCAAAGTGGTGTTAAACAGAATTCTCTTCTTACAATATTTCATAGGTGGTAAGGAGAAAAAAAAGAAAACCTCTTTTGGAGGGAAATATTAGTGTATCCTCCTCTTGGAATTTATGATGCCTGCTAGAATATAAAAGCTCTGAGAAAACCATTAGTAAAGAAGCCTATTCAATTTTGT